ACTTCTCAAGTACAACACAGCCCCCAAGTGGATGTACTGAACTATTACACTGCAGTGCTGCAAACCAGGGGAAGACTCACTTTTGACTCTCTTGCCCCATCTTTTGGTCAAAAACCCACATTGAGCTTTGTAGCTTTCTAAATGCATTGCATTTATATAGCGCTTTTTGAGATCCTCAAAGCGCTTTATAGTTCCACTCTTCATTCACTCTCACATTCACACACTGGTGGAGGCAAGCTACAGTTGTAGCTACAGCTGCCCTGGGGCAGACTGACAGAAGCGAGGCTGCCATATCGCGCCATCGGCCCCTCTGGCCATCACCAGTAGGCGGTAGGTGAAGTGTCTTGCCCAAGGACACAATGACCGAGACTGTCCGAGCTGGGGCTTTCAATTACAAGACGAACTGCCAACTCTTGAGCCATGATCGTCCCAACTAGATTGAAAACTCCATTAGGATATATGCAGCCTATCTACATTATTAAGGGTTGCATTGCATTCAGTCCCCTAAAAATGAAATGAAATGTTCATTAGAGTTTTTACCAATTTTATGCACACAAATAATGAAACGCAATTCTCTAAAGGTTGTGTGTAATCTGCAAAAGTTTCTCTATAGTGTAGTGGTTTACAATTTGCCTAGCACAGGAAAGCTCCCTGGTTTGATCCCAGGAAGTGACACAAACCATTAGAGGGTTGCATCAGGGTGGCATCTGCTCTCAAATCAGACATTCACAGCTACCTGCTAAGGTGACACATTAAGAATCAGCAAGCAGCTAAAAGTTGCTTATTCATGTATCATCTGAGTGATGATATTGAAAATCCCATCAAATAAGCACGACTTCAAGCACAGTTCCATTGGTCTGCATTGGTTGCATTATTTCACACACTTTGTTCACCTCGAAACACTGACCTTCAAAATGCAATAACATGACTACCAATTAGTCTCAGTCATGTTGCACCTGTTCAAACATATTTGGAAGAACAATTTAATCATGTGTCAGAGCATAAAAGAGGCCTCAAGTGACTTATACAAGTGTTAGACAAGAAGATGTAGCAGCAAGAACACAGAGGAAGAGGAAGGCAATTAGCATTTGTGTGTGTGTGGGGGGGGGGGGGGATTATGTAAGCATACTACTACACATCATATGACAGTATTAAATATTTATTTTGTTGTAGTTCTGTATATATGCACTTACTGTACTGTTTCCTAATGTGTTTATATTACACAGATATAATTATTGACTTTTGCTACATTTTTTACTATGTAAAACAAGTAAAACTTTGGATGGATGGATGGATGGATAGAACAGCAATTTGGCATTTTAATCAAAACATAATGTTATGCTTTACTATTTTCTGCTTTTTTTGTAAAACGGTAAAGCTGAAATTTAAGCATAACGATAATAATTATAATTTTCATTAAAGAGCATGTCCATACTTGTGGATTAACCATTACAGAAACATAAAAAATGTTAAACATAAAAAAGAAACATAAAAATGACAGAGATGTGTGAAGGTTTGAGCATTCAACACTTTCAGATTGTGCTTTAAAATTTTTGAGAAACTGAGCCAGAGTTTTTGGAAATGTGTTTGAACAATTTCTTTATCTAAAACATATACATCATCCCTTCCTAACATTCTCCAACTTAAACATTGAGAAGAAAAACTGTGCTAGAATTTACCATGTGAAATTCATACCTTAATTCATATACATCACATTTTCTATTCCACACCAGTGGTGCTTCTTGTCTACAAATCTGCCAAAGACAATCTTGTGCATATTCAGGAGCACACAGCTCCCTTTTTGTATAACTGGCTTAACTGTCTTCGAGCAACAGAACAAACAAGAGAACTATCGAAACAACAGATACGAACCAAAATGACCAAAATGCATCTCTAACTGCAACCCCTCTGTTCACACAGCCCAACAAAGGTGTGCCTGTGGGAAGCTGGTTGATTAAGATCAGTCCCAACTTGGCCGAGTCACACTTCATCACCTCATTAGGTGTCTACAATCACACCACCAGTGCAGTCAGAGTTCACAGGGGCATGCCTCCACTTAAGCTCACCAGATGAACTAATACAAACAACAATATACCATTAGAAACTCCCAAAATTATTATCCATTGATATTTATACATTGATATTTGAACAGTAATGAATACTGAAGATTGATTAACACCAACTTGTGACTTCATATAAGACAAACATGAACTGATTTGAATATAACCATAATCGCCACTGCACTGGGGGTAAAAGTGATATCCATCGCTCCATATTTATGTGTTTCATTGTCACTGGTTGCATCTGTTTGTAACCAAGGTGCGTGACAGTTGTGACATGTGGCTACTTGAGACTGAATATTACTGTCTTAGGTTTGTATTCTTTACACTCAAGTTCACACCAGCACATGCAAAAGCAGCATGTGTCTGATAAAACAAACTTTACAAAGCTGAGTTAGGTTTTGGGCAATGTTCAGCATTCAAAATCTCAATGGTAAATAACAGTTTACTTTTTATTATCATATTTGCAGCTGCATTATCCAAGCATTCAGCTGGCTATAATTTCACGAGGACACACATCTTTCCCTTGTTTTATGTTTATTCCTGGATGTGAGCAGATTTCACACCAAAGTAAGTGACACTCCAGTAGCTTTAACACCCACGCATGCCTGGGAAAGTCCCAAAGCTCCTACAGTTGCAGACAATTACTTCAGTAATTCATCAAAATCTATGATCTCAGTTGAATATTTAGACATTAAAATGAATTTTGATGCTCAGGACTCAGATTGTGATCACTTGCTCTAGAAAGTCATTGTTTTACCTTTTGTGATGGTTTATTGAACCAACAACACCATAGTTTTTTTCTTTATTAATCAGAGGCCTGTACTACTATTAAAGTATCAGCGAACAAGTATTTTGCAAATTATTAAACATTCCTACGTTGAAGTCTGTCTATGATATGTCACATGTGCTGGGGTGATGCATCCCCCCCAGTGCAGTTAAGAGCCCAAAATTTGTCTCACCACAAAGGCGTGCAAACTTTGCACTCTTCAGAACACCTACAGATGATCTAAAAAGTTCCCATGGCACGGTTTAAAAGGTCAACACTGGTGTGACTTGAAAAGTTCAACAGTTCAAATGTGCAGATATGTTGTTGAGGCTTTAGCAACCCATACTAGACTACTCATAGTACTTGCATCATATCCAAAGTAGAGCAAGCTCGTGAAACAGAACTTTAACATGACAAGTGTCACTTTAATTGCTATATCGCATGATTGCTGGCTGATGTAATTATTTGGACATGTCATATGTTTTGTGGTCCAAAACCCAAGACTCTTTTAGGATTTACTCCAATTACAAGCAGTAGTCACAACCTGATACCATAACTTTAAAATAATAAACTCATTCACTTCTGCATTCCAGTAAGGATATATTGTTATTATAAACATCATCAGAGGAATTTTAGAAGAAAGGTTGAGATGTCACTCTCTAAAGAGGCAACTGATATGGCTCTAAGTTCACAGGCTTTTATCCTTAGATCACTATTAATTCATGTTGGTTTACTGGGTGATATATGTTATATAACCAGAAAAAACACAAGATACTATACGTATAGAATGATGGTGCATTATATGGGCACCAATAATGTACCAATAGCAGGCGGAATAATGGACCAGTAAAGGTTTGCTATGAGTTAATCTAGCTCTTGTTAACACACTCTACATCAGTGTTGTTTCTGTGCCTACACTTTCTATGATTTTAAAGCAAGCGTAGGCACAAGCACAAGAACTGGAACATACATTCAGTCAAACCAATTCAGTCACTAGTTGGTTTTCAACAGTTTAAACAATCAAGATCATAGGGGTTAGCTCTAGCTAAGAAAATACAACTAGTCCATGAATGCTTTTGTTGTAAAGTAGGGGTCCATAAGGATAGAGGTTGGGAAACATTGAGCAGATGAAACACAGTGGTTCTCTATTGCAAGGTTTATTATCACATGAGCCTGTTAGCACTTCCCCCTTTCACCCCAAATCCTGCTTGACTGAGTCAAACTAAGAGCCTAATTTAAAAAAAAAATGCAAACCTAATGTTAACAGTTTTTTGTTTCCTCGCCTCGTGCCTGTCAGATTCGACCTCCTGCTTCATGCTTGCTCCCCAAATATGCGGTGTCATCCCAAGGAGGACGTGTGACTTTATGGGTTAGGTCTGATGCACTTCAGCGCACAAGTTGGTAGAAGTCCTTTGATGGCCCACATAAAATACAGATTCTCTGCTAATGTTATCAGTACATTTTCTTCTTCTAAAATGTTTCACCTCCGTTTGTCTCAGCCAAACTTTATGGTCTCTGGTGACAGGGGTTTGCGCCCTCCACCTGTCCCACCGTTTCCGCGCTTCACGCGACACTGCACAGGAAATGGTACGTTTAACACCCTGCACTTATCCGTGGGAAAAGGGATGTTCAGTGGAAAGAAAGCGGTTATAGCCAGTAAAGTGAATGCAAATATGGAAAGAAAAAGCTCTGCTACAACGTCTAATTAAGGGATCTGCATACATTTGGAGTGACTTGTAGGATATATTCATGTGAGGTTTTAGATGTTTCAGTGCCATAAATAAATACAGTAAGTAAGAAAGGCCCAAACAAGTTCTGCACTTGCATAAAATCAACCTGATATCTTTCGAATGGAAAATGTCACAGTCTACTGGAGAACCTCTCATTTTCCCTTGAACACTTCAGTCAATCAATGCAGCGCTGAATGCTTAATTTGTGTGTGAGCGTGCAGTGATTATTTAAAGCAAATAAACTCCAGATAACGAAATTTATTTCCTGCATTTTATTATAAAATACAAAGGAGGTAGAAATGTGAAAGGAATAACTTAAGCTTGGTAACTGGTATTTGAACTATTTACATATAATTACAGGAATAATTTAAAAGATATATATATATATAAATATTGTCCAATATGACAGCATGCAACATTCTTCAAAGTTCACGAAGACATTTAGTTCCTCTCCTTTTCAACCTCCTCCTCGTCATCATCGTTGTCTTCGTCGCTGCTGGAGTCTTCGTAGGTGCAGATTGCTGCTTGGACTGGATAGTTGCGAAGGAGTATTTCTGCGTCCCGGTACAGGTAATCAAAGCATCTCGATTTTGGCCAGTACAACCTTAGAACAAAAAGCAATTGATGTTTTTATATTTGTAGACTTTACTCTTTTATTCAACGATGCCTTAATTAATAAAGCTCCACTTACTTGACTGGATGGATCACTTGAGGTGTTTTCGGATCTTTTGCGCCACTGAGGTCTCCATGGTTTGAAAGATTCTAAAAACAAAGAGATTTATTTAGTCTTTCTGTCAAGTAAGCAGTGCGTGTTTGGATTTCAAAAATACAAACTTGAACGTGCAAAACTTACCTTGTGTCGGACATTGTTATCCTCATTTCGAAACCATGGCCTCCACAACTCGGACTGCTGGCTCGAATTGCCTCCGTTAGAAACAGACGATAGCCCACTCTTGTTAGCGCAGGTCTCCATGGCTCCTTGTGGTGGTCAGCTCTTCGTAAAGTGTTGTGAGGATGTGGGGAAGCGGACAGGAACCGTCTTTTTATCAGGCCCTGGAAACCCGTGCCAAATTGCGTTTTGACGCGTCCCCAAGTGTTTCCATGCGCCACGGTGATAAGGTGCGAAGTCACACTTCAACAAACTATGGTCATTTGGTCACCTTCTGGTTTAATTTTGCATGAAGATTTTTTTTTAAACTGCCTGATAGTAATCTATTTAAAACTGTATCAGTAATGGTCAATTTCTAGCTATTTATTAATACAACTGCTTGCACAGTTGTATTATGTATGTAGATTGCAAAGTCTGCATGTGATTTGTACTGTCAATATTGTGACAGGTTTTGTGTGTGTGTTGCTTTTTTTTAATGCTTATCGGTCAACGTAATTTAAAATTCAAGCACCTATTTTAATCAGCTTAACTTTTGTGAGAGAAAAAAGGCTGAACTCTTGATCCCTTTCTTTATCTCTGTCTGTGTAGCCATTTGGGTGTAAGGTGTGAAGAAACACGTGCCCTAATGTCTTTGTGTGCTCAGTGAGAAATGGAAGGAGGCTCGTGTGCGTCTGTCGGAGGGGCGGTGAGGCAGTTACACGCGCCAGCCTTTGTTGAAAACAACGCTGCAGCAGATGCAGAGCTGGAAGGCATCCACTCTTAAATGGAAACCCTTATAATAAAGTGTTGTGCAACTTTTGGAAAAGCCTTTATTTTTCAATTATTTTTAATGATCTTGTTGCCTAATTATAGATTTTCAAAGTTGCTAAGGCACATTCTTATGCATAATCTCCATCCTTTTGTCAGACCTGAAAGCCCAGTTTTACTATTGTGAAACCTCTGATTTTTTCTGGACAAAATCCAAAATAATAACACTCTATACACTATTTTAAAAAAGCAAAAACAAAAACAAAAAAACACCTGAAAACACAGTGTTCGGGACATCATAACACAACAGCAGTAAACACAAGAAGTTTCAAGATTCACATTCAAGACTATGATGGTCTAATCTGCTGAGTCCGGGTTGTCAACTGTGTCCAGCTCCCATCTTTCACATGACAAAAAGAAACAGAAGAAAGCATAGAGTAGAGATCCATTAATGCTTTATATGCAGACATATAATTACACATACAGTAATTTACAGTCCTTTGGTCAGATTCACATATAAAATGAGAAAGGCAGGCACCTTAATGAGTAAATCACAGTATGACATATACAGATAGGCTCTGTATATGTTGCAGAAAGACAGTTTTTGGAGTTTTGGCTCATACACCCCCACAGAGGATTTTAAATGAGACAATCAACATATGGTTAAAGTGCAAGCTTTCAGCATTAATTTAATTGAAGAGAGCCCTGTGCACATCATATTTCATCCTGTAACTTCTATTAGTGCTCACATTATAAATAAACACTAGTGTTATTTATACCTGTTATAGTGGCAGTCTTACATGTCATAACATTACATCCACCATGTTTTAAAAATAGTGTGGAATGTTTCAGATCATGAGCTATTTTTTTATGAATTGTTTTAGATGAGGACTTATCTTGTTTTTGAGTGTAACCAGTGGCTTGCACCTTGGTCTAAACTGACTGTATTTCCATTCATTTCTTATTTATAAACCTTAACACTGATACACCTACCTCTATCACCGAAATATCTATGTATTTAAACAAAATAAGACTTTGAAATCCATGATAATCTCTTTTAATCGATTGATCGACTGGAAGTCCCGTCCATCGCTTTAATGATTCTGAAGGTGCTGGAGGGGCCAGCAGATTTTGGGGGTTGTCACCCCTGCAGTGGTCTTTCAGGTCCTTCGGTGTTCCTGAACTAGCCAATGCAGACATTTTTTGAAAGAATGTACCAGACTGTTGATTTGGCCACTCCTGAAGTTTTTGCTATCTATCTAATAGATTTTCTTGTTTTTACAGCCTAATGATGCTCTGCACTTGTACTAAAACCAGTGCAGTGCACTACCACTGACATCTCCTTAGGCCTCATATGTCAAATTACAGTGAAAAGCTCTAAAATACAAATTCAGCTCTGTGAATCATTGTCAGCTACTCTTGTTGTTCCTCATCTTTCTTGTCTTCCTCCACTGTTGGTCTTAACCTTCGGCTAACCCTTGTTGGCTGTGCACTCTGAACTGGCATGCAGTGTGTTTGTTAAATTAGATCATTAGTAACAATTGCAAACAATTCTGAATTGCTGTCCTTAAGGAATGACATCTGTGCTGTAGCTGATTAACTTCTGGTTAGCGTTATGTATCACAAGTAAATTGCTGTGAAAAATGTGTTTTAGTAAGAGCGAATATAATTAGAGCCTTGCAAATGAGATTTGCTAATTGTGTCTAACCATGTAAGCTGTTTGAGTTTTTGTGTGTGTGTGTGTGTGTGGGGGGGGGGGGGGGGGGGGGGGGGGGAATGAGATGGAATTGCCTTAGGATGGTGAGAATTTGTTTCAGAGATAGGGAGTTAGTGCTTTAGAAAAGACTGCCTCATCTGGAGAGTGCCTCCCCGCAGTGAACCAGCAGGGGGAAGTGTGGGGCTAGATGCTAAAATCATAATGAGAACACTCTAAAAGATGATGAATCTGAAAAAACTTACAATGCTCTATTGTGTGAATGAGAACAGACTGGACTCCACGCAGGCGCTAAGTGTGCTTATTGATATCAATCAATCATGCCTGCCAAAGGGTGCTGCTCTTTTTCTAAGCATCACTTGGTGAGACATGTACTGTGAGGGTGTCTATGCTTACAGGTGAGCCATGCATGACCAGCATAACATTTCTTTGCCTACTAGCCGCATAGACATCACAACACAACTCTCTAGGGAACCTGCAGTCAGAGCTTGGTGCTAATAAGGTCCGCACAGATCCCCCCCCCCCCCTTCTCTCTTCCCCTCTCTCTCTCTCAGTCTGTTTTTCAGCTCTGAAGCTAATTGGACACTATGCTCTGCGCTGTTAGGCCCTTTTGTGTTTTGACGTCACTCTTTTGCTATGCTTTCAGGATAACAGAAAACTACCTTAGATGGATACATTTTATGTTCTTGCTATACAAACAGATTAATGCAATGTGTAAAAAAAAAAAAATCAGCAAACAACTCAGCAAAACTGGGTTATATGTGTGTGCACACATTCTTTTCCTTATTTGTCATCATAAAGATACTCCTTGCATTTTGTGCAAGTTTTGTACCAGCAGGACTTCAAAATACAGATGGTAGTTTCTGACAAACAGTGTGAATAACATCAAAAGAGTGATTCAAGAAAGAATACGAAAGAGCAGCAATAGAAATGTGAGATCTTAGTAAAAATTCCCTCCAAAAGATCACAGAGAATTTCTTTCAGACCTGTTACTTTTTTATACCTTTCTCTTTCAACATACTTTGTTCTCAGTCTTTTTCACACTCATTCACCGACCCTGCATAATGGCAACCACTGGAGGCAGGCGTTAAAACACAACTACAGTATGGATGCCATTTCTTAAACACAGCCACTCAAAACTGCTCATACGTATTTCTGCTAATATTATTAAAATGTTACATGCCAGGGGAGAATGAGCTGAATGACAATACCAGCAAGTGATTGAGTTTTGTGGCTGTAATTTGAAAACTGGATATTGTGTTTTGATTTTTGAGAAAAGGATGGAATGTTTCGAGAAATGATTCCATTATGTGCTTCTCCAAGTTAAAGCTAAGACAGCAGGTAACCCCTGCAGGAACTGATTCTGTTATCTGATGCATTTAGTAGTCATTACTCACTTTAAAAGGCTGATTACCACCACATAGGCTCCTAGCTGTCACTCTTCCAGCTGTGAATGACGAAGAGGTGGCTGGATTTGTGGTGACAGTTCAGATTCTGCAGCTGTGGTCCACTCTGTGCTGATACAGATAAGTTGTTATTGGCGTACAGTAGCTTCAATACATCCCCTTGCCATAATCACAATTGAACACACAGTAGCTGCATGTATTCCATTTACACCAATTACAAACCAGCATGTCGCAGTCATAATCATAAAGCGCCAACCATGAGCACAGCTGCAGTCATGGACAGCTCCATGAGCCCACATCTACAGTCATAGCCACAAAGACGGTGTCAGAGCTGCAGTCAGCGAGAGTGCTTTTTTTCTAAGTCTTTGCCTGAGCATGCAGGCACAGCTAAGGGTGCACTTAGACGCACTATCGCAACCAGCAGACATCTAGTGTACAACATAATACCTTATAAGAAAGAGAGATCTGTCTTTCTTCATGGGTCAGATTAAATGCAAATGCCTTGTTGTCAGCTTTGAATGAAGCAAAACTGAAATTCCCTTTCCCAGAGGACAGAAAAAAGAATCACACCATGCACACAAACACACGCAACAAAGCACAGAATATTAAGCACACTCATACACTCATTGATAGTCCAGCATAAAGCCATTATCCTTTACTGCTTCAAGCCATTAGGTGATACTTAGTATTAAAGGATGAGCTGAAGATAAATTGAGGCAGATGAAATGCTCACACAGCTGCAGAGAGACTGATTTTACAGAAAATATGGTAGCGCTCAGCTCAGCAGCAGGGAGATCTGCAGTATTTTAAAAAATATGTCAGAAATTGATCAGTGTCTGAATGTCTCCATATGCCATTCAAGATTTTTCTTATTTATAATTTTTACCTAAATAAATAAACAAATAAATGGAATAAAAATATTAGAAAAAACAATACAATAACGGTTTCTTCCTTTTTTTACTTTCTTTCTTTGCTCCCTCATTTAGTAGTGAAAGGGTCAGATGATCTCTTTTTTTCTCCAAGTCATTTATCCCTCTTTTCTACAAAGACTTCTCTCCAAAATATTCTTCTCCATGGCAACAGCAAACCACAAACAACACTTTTGAAAGAAGTCATCATTCAGATTTTTATATTATTTGCACTGTAAATTATATATGAATGTATTCACAAATTATGTGTGAATACTTCAGTAAGGTACACAGCGTTTAGCTGTCATT